TGTGCCAAATCAGCTTCACAGGACGGAGCCTTGGCATTGACCATTTTTTTTCAACTTCCATGTGTGTATAAAATTACTCTGAGGGGAAAAACAGTGCACCATTCTCATCAATTTGAAGTGTCTTGTGTTGTCATCTCATCATTTTGTGAAACTTAATCATGTCAGCATCCTTGGGGTGGAGATGAAATTCTGACCAGCAGAGAATAATGACCTCATGAATCAAACAAGGAGGTTACTGATGATGTAAAACCTGCCCAGTGGTCTGCTACAGGGTGGGAGCACATATGTTGGGATTTGTGTGTGTGTGTGTGTGTGTGTGTGTGTGTGTGTGTGTGTGTGTGTGTGTGTGTGNCAGCAGAGAATAATGACCTCATGAATCAAACAAGGAGGTTACTGATGATGTAAAACCTGCCCAGTGGTCTGCTACAGGGTGGGAGCACATATGTTTGTGTGTGTGTGTGTGTGTGTGTGTGTGTGTGTGTGTGTGTGTGTGTGTGTGTGTGTGTGTGCAGTAACAGAGGCTGTATTTAGGGATAATGACTTTATGTGTGAAGCTTGGCATTGGCAGCCATCGATGAATGATGACATCTTTTCAGTCAGCATGCACTCCTGTTCCTGAGAGAGTCAAGCACTAATCCAGATGTCTAAACCTTCCTAAGTGCAGATACAAAAAAAGTCTTATTATTCACATGTACAATCACATGTGTCCCTAACATACACTGCCTGGCCAAAAATAAAAATGTCGCCACCAAAAAAAACAAAAAACAAAAACGGTCCTACACTCTACTATTTCATTGGACCGCCTTTAACTTTGATTACGGCACACATTCGCTGTGRCATTGTTTCGATAAGCTTCCTAAACTTGACCAACTGCAGCAACCCCAGAYCACAGCACTGCCCCCACAGGCTTGTGGATCGTTGAAGACGATGGGTCTCCACTATCCTTCAGCTTTCAATAATGCGTTGAACAGTTCTTAACCCAATTTTAGTAATTCCTGCAAACACCTTAAATGTTTCCTCTGCTTGCTGCCAATGATTTGACCCTTCTCAAACAGACTGACATCTTTTCCACAACCATGGGATGTGTCTTTCCACATGGTTGTTTAAGAAATGAGAAGAACCCATTGGGGTTAAATAACTTGTTTCCAGCTGAAAGATCCATGCAGTAATAATCCAATAGGAGGCTCCTACCTATTTGCTTAGTTAAATCCAGGTGGCAGCTTTTTTTTTTTGGCCAGGCAGTGTACAATTCAAGTTCTTTCAATTTATTACAAAAACTTATCAAGTCCTTTGTAGTCATTATAAAAATTCTAACTGCAAAATTTACCTCTCCACTGACACAAGAAATTAGCTGAACTCCAAAACACCTTTGTTCCACAGAAAAGGTGCTTCACTGCATAGGAACCTGCTTCTACACCAAAGACAAGCAGTCTGAATTCAATAAACCTGCCTTTATAAGATTAAACTGAATGTTCCCTAATAACAAAAGCTGTGCGGTTAAAAAAACCTTTTAAAAAGGAGCTAATTGACTAAGGGAGGGTGACATAAGCTAGAATTAAACAGCTAGTACTCTGTTATTAGGTATTACTAGAGGCCACTCATTGCTTCAGCGGCTAATTACTGGGAAGATCAAATAGGTCGGAATCCTAATGAGATGGTGCCGGAAAATTAAATCATTAAATCGTGTTCTTATTCACAGATTCTTGTTTTCTTGTGCATACTTTAGAACATTGGTTCCTAAACTTTTCAGCTTTTGACACATAAAATAGCAGCAGGGACCTGTGCTCCCAGTCTAGGTTTGGTTTGGTTGAGATAAACAAGGGCATTCATCTGTTTGATGTACACTAACTTCACTTGTTTCCAACAACTAAGGCAAGAAAGTGTTGTTAGTAGTCATTTTAAAATGTAATTAATTATGAAAATCTATTCTAGACCCCACTTTGATGTTTCGAGACTCCTCTGTTGGTCTCAACCCCAACTTTGGGAAACACTGCTTTAGCAAAATAAATATTCCTACTAAAGCTGTGGAGGGATGAGTTAGTTTGGAGAAGCACAAAGTAGTGACTTTTATTTGTTTTATAGCAAATGTTAAATCCTTGGCCAGTAGGGGGGGTTACAAGATTAGGAGGCAACGGCGAGATGAGAAATGTTGCAGAGGATGGGTCCGTGATGTTCTTGTATGTCTTTATACTGTTGAAATTCTGTAAATAAAGTACGTTTCAATGATTTGCAGATAAATACTTTACTCGTGTGTCACACAGAAAATGTTTATTTACTCAAATGTGTGGTAATTTAAGGGACACGTTCAGGAGCAGGATGTTCTGAGATTTTGTGCTTTCTTGACGTAAAAACTAACAGTTTGTTTCTGTCTCTGTCTGTCTTGAGGCCTGACAGACATCCTGTGGTGTTCCATCCAGAAGTACTTCACGCAATAATGAGCTCAATTTGTTTAATGGAAGGGAGAAAAAAAAACTTTCATAATTGAAGCTGGAATGCAAACCCTATGGGCAATCTCTGCAAAATTAACAGAGAATATTAAATAATAAGAAAGRACTCAGGGGACAAGTGGATTTTTTAGGCTGTCATTGAGTTATAAATGGTAGAGCTTGCTCTGAATTCATATGGGAACTATCCTACATTATACAGTAGTATGGGTGTAAATCACCAGCTTTATACTTATTTGCATGGATGACAATATGATGCTTTTCCATATCACAGAGTCTATGATATGACTTTGATTCAATTTAATTCACAAATCTTTGATAGATAAGATGCAATTTCATACTGTATGTCCATATGAAAATATGAAATTGATCCACATGGGGCATATGATGATAAATGTTGAATAGACTGTACTTATATAGCACTTTCCTATCCAACCAGGATACTCAAAGCGCGCTTTACAATACAACCTGTGTCCATATTTATCTATTTACACACACATTCAAACAGCACTCTACAAAATCATTCTATGGAGACTAATCAGTGCTTTAAATCACTTTCATACACTGATGGGACACACAAGATTTCTATAGCCAGTCTGCCACAGCCGTCCCAAATATGACAATGATATGGATCCATGTTTTCATTTTTCCTTGTTGTTACTGAATTAATAATCACTTAGTCAGCAACAATACTCAGGTAGGCTGTGGCGTTGCAACGATGCTCAATTGGTCCCAAGGGGCCCAAAGAGTGCCAAGAA